GGAGGGGGAAGCGCGGGGCTGCCAAAATCAACTCCGGGCGGTGCAAACACCCGGCCAGCTGCGCGGTGTAGCTAGGGAAACACGGCACAGCTGGAGCACAACAGGCCCCTGCCTCCCCAGAAGGCTCCTCCTGGGCCTCCCCGCAGCCCAGCGAGCAGCTGGGGGGGCTGCAGCCCACCGCCCCCTGCCCCAGTGCCAGCATGGGGCTGCCCATCTCCAACTTATCCATGGCTGCCCCATCCCATTCCCTGCGCTGGTCTGGCACACGTCTCCACGCAGTGTGACACCTCTTCCGGGCAGGGCAGTGGGACAGGGGGCTTGGCCTTGCCGGGGACCTGCCCGTGGCACGAGCTGGCAGAAGGCAGCAAGGAGTAGCTAGGCTTACCCCGGTGGGACGGCCCCCTGGCATCACCAGCGCTGGGACACTGCCAGGACCTGGGGCATCCCCCGGGCATGGCTGTCCCTGACACCCTGCTGCTTTCAAGCAGGTCCTGCGAGCAGCGACCATGCCTGGCAGCAAGGCACCCCTTGGCCCCGTGCCCTTCCCGCGGTCCCCAGCGGTGTCACTGACCTGTCCCCTCTCCTCTCTCCCGACGTCCTCGCTGGCCGAGGATCCGGCGACGCGGAGGGCAGGGAAGGGTTGGGGTCTGTGTGGCTGTGCCAGCGTCGCTGCGCGGTGCCCGCTGCGGCACAGCAGCGGCTCTGGGGACGGCGGGACGTGAGCGGGGTGAGCAGGGAGGAGGCGGGCGATGGCTCCCAGCTGTCCCGCCGGTGCCAGGAATCCGGTGCTGGCTCTGTGCACCCAGAGCTCGTCACAGTCTCCTGGCTCGTCTGCGGGACACGGGGAAGAGATGAGGGAAGCTCCCTCCCCTTTCCCGGGGAAAGGAAGGAGAGACGGGGAACCCGCCTGGCTGCAGCCCCTCAGCACGGGGGAATCTGGGGCACGGGGTGCCAGAGCGAGAGGGGCTGCAAGGGTATCCGGCACTGCCAGGCTGGGAGCAGGGTGGCATGCTGGCATGGGGCCTGTTAGGTCAGGAGGGTGCTGGGCATCCCTGCCCGGGAAGGGCCTTGCCTGGGCATCCCTCGTCCACAGCCAGAGTGTGCCCTCATCAGTAGGCAGAAGTGGCTTGACAGCCTTGGGGGTCCCTGTGCTCTTGGAGAGGGGATAGTGCCAGTCAGTGCTGGGAAAAGGTCCTGGTCCCACCAGCTGCTTCCCAGCACTCACACGTGTGCAAGGAGCAGAGCCCGGCACAAAGGCACCTCTGAGGCTCCAAAGCTGGGCCTGGCACCGGCACATCCCCAACGGGGCTGCCAGCTGTGGGCAGCTGGAGCTGGCTGGAGCTGCACCACGATGGAGATGGCTGGCCATGGGCAGCCTCAAGCCTGGCACTTTCAACCCTCCACCATCTCTCCCAGGGTGGGAACTGGCTTGTCCTTGGTGGGGAGGTGATTGTCCCATGGGGTGTCTCCTGTCCCATCAAAGTAGAGGTGGGAAGCCCCAGTGATGTCCTACAGAGCAGCCTGTAGCTCTGCTGGGGCTTTGTGGGCACGTGCCCTGCCCAGTGGTGAAGGTTGCATGGAATATTCCAGAGGATCGTGGTGCCAGGGCTGTGCCATGCCTGGCGTGGGGGCGTCTCAGCAGGCGCTCACCCGAGCTCTGCCCTCCGCAGCTCCCATTGTCTGCCCTCATTAGCTGCTGCCTGCTCGCGGCTTTGAACATGAGCCCGGCTCAGGGCGACAGGAAGGAGCCTCTGTTCCCCAGGGATGGAGTCGTGGTGAAACTGGATGCCCTGGGCCCCCCTTCTCACAGCCTCCCGCTGCCTTCTGGGCACCCCAACACACCCTCCAGGCATAAGCCCGAAGATGGGAAGGCCTATGGGGCACCCCCTCTCTCCAAAAAGAGCCCCCCTTGACTGCCCCGCCCCGTTGCGGGATGCAGAGAGCCGTCAGCCACCCCAAAGCTTTGTGCCGAGCGTGGCTTGTGCCGTGTCTAATCCCCCCGGCCTCACACACACGCGGCGGGGCGGGGGGGGCTGTCGTAATGGGTGGAAATATCTCATAATTCACGTTGGACACAGGGATTACAGCCGTTCCGGCAATATTTGCACAACTGGTAGGCGACTTGCAGGGCTGGGCCATCCCAGATGAAGGCCAGGGGGGTCTGGGGATGGAGGGAGTTTTAGGGGTACTAGGTACGAAAGGGGGATGCAGTTTGGGGGGGCAATGGAGTGGGGGAAGTTGGCTGTTTTCTGTATGTGAACACATGGAATTTATTATGGAGGGTGCGTTGCTGACACGGTGGGGGTGGCTGGGGCTCTCGCCTTCATCTCATCTTGCTGTGGTGGCCACAGCTCAGGGAGTGGAATGGAAACCCCAAAACAGTCTCATCTGCCATGCCCAGCAGATCCTGGCAGTGTCCCAGAGCAAGATACCTGTTCCCAATGCCCAGTCAACCCCACAGAGCTCCCTGCTCACAGGAGCACCCAGAGGTGCTGGTGTCCCCCTGACCCCAAATGTCCCCTCCTCAAAAGCTTTACAGGGTGACCCCAGCAGGAGGAAGGCGGGGGGCATGTGGGGGCCTTGTTTGGCATGGGGATTAGCAAGCTCCCAGAAGCGATGGTGGTCTCCCCCCTCCCCACCGGACATGCAGGCAAATATTTGTGCCCAGACTTCGCAGGACAGCGAGAAGGAATTTCATTCTTGCGCCCACCTGCGGCTCGGCTGCCTGGCATTAACCCCTTCTCCTCTCCATGGGATGGAGGCGGAGGGACGAGGTGCCCTCTCAGCAGGCTCCGTGCGCCCCGTTGGAGTGGAAAGCTTGGCTGAGACGCGGGATGGTAGAGGAGGCATAATGGAATCACCCCTGATGCCAGCAGAGGCGCTGGCATTAGGTGCCCTTGCCCAAGGCAAGGCGAGTTGGCCCATGGACATCCCCTGGGCAGCACCGAGGGCTTTGTGCTGGGGTGCTAGGCAGCAAGCGGCTTGCTGAAAATTGGGAAAGGTAAAACCCTGCCATCCTTCATCCCCAAGCTGCTGCACCCCGACCAAGGTGTCCCTTGCCAGTCCGTGTCCCGGCAGCGTGGGTGTTCTCCTGGGGCGGCTGTCTGGGAGCAGGACAAGAACCAGGTTGCGCGGGGAGTAGGATTTGCCCACGGATGTTTATTGGCAATTTGCATATGTAGCAAAAACGCCCGGAGGGTCCAGGAGGGACCCTGCTCCCGGGGACTGCCCGTGCTCGGGGAGGGGCAGCCCGGGTAGAGGGTCCCCCGCTGCCTGGCACCCAGAGAGCCCCGCTGTGCTCCTTTCCCTGGCCCCGGAGCCAGCTGTGCCCTGAGCAAACGGGGCTGTTTGCTCACGCCGGGATTAGCCGCTCTCTTTGTTCCTTTGACTTTCTCTTTCCTTTATGCCAGACCCTTTTATGGGGGCTTCAAAGGGGGCTGAGACCCCCCCCTTTCCCTGCCCCTGGAAGGCCAGGTTTGTTTCCCATGCTAGCATTGACATCCTGCGGGTGCCCACCGAGCACATCTGGGTGGCCTGCGGGGACAGCAGCTGTGCCACCGAACCACAGTCTCCCCCCGCGGTCCGGCGTCTTCCTCCTCTTCCCCCCCTTCTCTGACTTCTGGCACCTCCTGCTGTCTTCAGCACCTTGGCAAAGTGGGTGCGAACGGCTGTCCCTGCAGCGGGATTCCCAGCACTTTGCACCCTGTAAGGAGAGGTGGGAATCTTGGCACCGGGATCCGGCCAGCTGTGCAGCCCTGCGGCCCCCGCCCGGCTTCCTGTCCCCTGCCAGAGCCCGGCCTGCCTGGCCGGAGCTCCCGTGTCCCCCTGGGGTCCCTGTGCCTCACTTACTGCCCCCACACTCTCTCCCTCTACAGCACGCAACATCCCTGCGGTTGGGCTGGGCCAGAAGCAGGGGCTCTGCCCCACATCCTCCTCTGCCCCCCTGGCAAGGGGCAGCAAGTGCTGGCACTGCCCTTTCCAGCAGAGGAATACCAGGCTGCCCACAGGCACAGGCTCACGCTGCCTGCCAGCTTCTGGCATTGTTGAAAAGGAATATTTTGGAGTAAAGGGACTATTGTGGGCACCTTAGGCTGCCCATGGGGGGTCTATTAGACCTCCAGTTCCCAGTTGCTCTCCAGTTTCCCCTGAGGGGTTTGTTTGCCTAATCAAGAAGGAATGCAGGGCACCGCAGCTCTCCAGCCTGGCATCGCCAATGACTTTGCACCCGGGGAGGGACAGGGAATGGACGTGGTGGGGGCACGGCAGGGACTGACATGGGGACGGCGGCGGGCCCGAGGCCAGCGCTGGCAGAGGGGCTGACGGGCGTGATTGCAGCTTGTCACGTCCGCAGAAGGGCCACGGGGGGAAGCCTGGAGGCGTTTGACCCCGGTGCTCACGGGTCCCATTGCTGCCAGCTGTGCCCGGGTGAGCCGGGGCTGCCAGTCTCGTCCCTGGGGTCGTGGCAGCCGCTGGACCCCCCATCCAGGCACCCTGCAAGGTGGGCTGCTGTGGGCTGAGCAGGGCACGGGGCAGGTGGAGCGGGGCTGGGGTGTTTACTTTAACTGCTGTCACCCGGCCAGGCGCTGCCGGGAACTGCTGTCCACAGGGACGGGGGTGGGAACGTGCGAGAGTGTGCGAGAGCCGGGGTGTGAGAAGGAAACGCACTCGCTGCAGGGAGATCGGGAGCGAGAGGATATGTGCTGGGAGGTGTCCTGTGCTGGTGTCCCCCGAAGGGAAGCCTTGGGGGGCTGCTGGGGTGGAGGGTTATCTGAGCGTGGTTTTCTGGCACTCGCTGCGTGCCAGGGAAGCGCACGTGTGTACACGCAGGTTTGAGGGTGCACGTGGTGGGTGTGCACACATCTGCAGTACTGGGGGGACACACACATTCATGTGGGCATGGGGATGTGCACCCCACGCCAAAGTGACCAGTGAGAGCTGACTTTGCCGGGGAATGTCAGAGCCATGCCAGGGCATGGTGCTGAACAGGCCCCTGGTGCTCCTCCTACCCAGAGAGGGGGCATCTGTGGGTGCCTCACCCAGCCCACTCCCAACCAATACCCCTGGTGACACATGGATTAGCCACGACCCCTGTGATCCATCGCCCTCCCCAGCTCATGGGGATCCCGTGAACCACAGCCATCCCGGCAATCTCCAGCTCCTCAAGCCACCTCTGGTGGATGCAGGAGTCAGAGCATGCCTCTGTGGGAGGGTGAACAGGGATGGGGTCTCACTGGGTAAAGGTCACCATGCATGAAGTCCACCTCTGGGAGAGGGTCACAAGGAGTATGGTCCACCTCTGGGAGAGGGCTTTTGGTGGCTTTCATACCTGGCTGCCACAGCCAGGAGCAGAACCTCATTAGGGCTGATGGTCCCAGGGCTGTCCAGTGCTGGGTCACTGAAGCCATCCCTTCTGCAGGTACCCTGCACCCCTGGACAGGCACAGCTGAGGCACTGACCACTGAGGTGCTGGCTGCTGAGTGCTCAGCCTGGAGGCAGGTGAGCAGCCACGGAGGGCGCCCAGGGACGCCCTTCCCGTGCCCTGAGCCAAGGGAGGAAGCGGCCGGAGGCAGGAAGCCTTCCCCCGGGCCCGGGGCCCCTGCTGCGACTTTGCTGGAAGGTCAGCGGCGACACAACAGGAAATCGTGCTGCCTCGGCTGGGCGGCCAGGCCGGAGCCACAGAGCCGCGCCGTGCTGTCCTGGGCCGCTCCCGGCCTCCGGCCCTCCGTCCTGGCTGGGCGGCTCGCGGGGAACCCGCGCCACCACTGCCCTCCATGGAAGGGGGACGGGAGCCAGGGAGCAGCCGCTGGCCCCAGGGTGGAAGATGCAGGGCCGAAGCCCCCAGCTGAGCATGGAGCTGAACAGTGAGTGTGTGGCTAAAAGGGGGGACTGGGTGCGCAGGAAGGGACGGTGGATGCTGTGGCCCCACAGCCGGAGTGTCCCCTGCACGATGAATCCCACTGATGGGCATCAAACCCCAAGGGTGGCTCTGGGCTGGTGGGATCCAGCCCCTGCCAGCATGTAAGGGCAGCCAAGCATCTCTCCATGCCCATCCTAGGAAAACAGGCTGCACTGAGGATTTTTGGGGACAGGTGTAGTGCCAGGGCAGGCAGTGAGGCAGGCAGGAGGATGCAAAGAGGGCACTGGAGAATCTGTCAGGATGGGCAGTTGCTGGGCACAGTGGTGTGCAGCGGCACTGGGGTAGGCAGTGCTGGCAGGGGAGCACTCAGCCAGGGCAGTGGCCAGGAGCAGATGTTCCCTGTGGGACACTGCAGGCTGGGATTCCCCGAAGTGCACATGACGCCTGGAACTGCTCTTGGCAGGGATCCGGAGGGCTGGTCCTGGTCTGCACAGGGAGTACAGCCCTGCTTCCTTGCCTGGAGCGCGGCCGAAATACCTGGCAGACATGGCTGTGCGGCCCCTCGGCACACACCACTGGCATGGAAACCCCGGCTCTCCCCCGTGAGCACTGGGCACCCCTCGCTGGCTGACAGGAGAGCAGCACCGAGCCCTCCTCAGCCACTCACACCTCCCCCTGCACCCCCACCACGGGGCCATCAAGACCACCAAAGGGCTGGGGAGAGGACTTGCCACTGCAGGCTTGGCTCTGGGCTGACACTACCCAGGGAGGCTGGCACAGCGCACAAGGCAACCCCATCTCCTCCAGGACTGCTCCTCCTCACATCCTTCCTCCTGCACGTGAAAGAGGACCGTGCCAGCCCAACACGGCTGGTCTGTGACAACAGGCTTATCCAGAAGTACATCGTGGAGGCCAAGGACATGGAGAAGAGAGTGGTGAGGATACAGTGTCCCACAAAACCCAAGCCCAGGGACATGCACAGTTCCTGGCACCTCACCTTGACATCTCTCCTCATCAGGACCAGTGCCAGGCCCTGCCTGCACTCAGCTGCCCTGCAGTGCTGCCCTTGGTGGACTTCACTTTCCAGCAGTGGAAATCCAAATCGGTGAGAGGGGCCGGGAGGAGGGTGCTGGCATTGGTGTGCTAACAGGACTGGAGAAGGAACCTTGGGTTGGCTCAACCACCAGAAATGCTGAACAAGATGCTTGTAGGCATATCTGGTGGCACAGGGAGGATAGAGGACCCCATCCAGACCTAAGGTGAGCACAGGAAGCAATGAGACCCTGGGGGTCACTCTCTGCTCCCTCAGAACGAGACCAAGCGGCGGGAGATCCTGTGTGACCTGGCCCTGCTGGTGGGTGCTGCAGCAGGGGCCCAGGGCCAGGTGAGCGACGAGTGTGGGGCCAGGCAGCTGAGCCAGCTTTACCGACATGCCAACTCCTTCTTCCTGCTCCTGCAGACCTTCAGCTGGGAGGTGAGACCTCCCCACATGAACCAGAGCATCCTGGCACTGGTTCCAGCTGGGCTGGGTTGCATGCAATGGTGTTTGTCACCCCTCTGTCCCACTCTTGCCCCTCAGGCAGGACACTGGGAGTCCAGCTGCTCCCCATACTCCATGGAGCAGACCCACATCACCAGCATTTTCCTCACCTACCGGCAGCTGGTACAGGGCAAGTTGCGCTTCTTCTTCTATGACTTGGCCAAGGTCTTGTGCAAGCAAGGACAGGGGGACAGCAGAGACCCTCCATGCGGGGCCCAGGGAGGGTGCACACAGGGTTCAACCACGAAGTGATGCTGGAGCAATCCTGCAGGACACTAAGCTGTGCTTTGGGTGCCCAGGAAGATGCCCACAGGAAAAGGGTTGGCACCTGTTCCTTGAGTCTTTATCAACCGTGCAGCGCATGGAGGCAAACAGTGACACTCATGTGCCAGCAGGCACAGGCCCTGCTCCTATCTGGGCAGGCACCTCTACTGTGAATGCTTTTCAATTAAAGAGCTATTTTTCTAAAGAGTTGTGTGTGTCCTTGTGCCAGGCTCAGGGAAGAAGCCAGCTCCTGAGACATGCTCCCAGTTCTGCCCAGTGCCCACTGCCACCTGCAGCAGCTGCCAGTGCTGCAGGATCCTCCAACACGGCCCCACACAGTGCCTGAGCTGCCATTTCTCCTCTGTACCCACCTACCTCAGGTTTGGACTCCCCATTCCTTTGTGAAGTGGCAGGGTCCCCCTTTTGCCCCTGCACAAGTGTATCCACTCCCTGCCAGCCTCATCTCTCAGCAAGCAGAGCCAGATGCAGAAAACATCCCAGTTTAATCAAAACCAAGGCAGCCTGCCTCAGGATGGTTCCTGAGAGAATGGTCCCCAGTCCCCAGAGGCAGGCAGGCAGCTGTCCCAGTCCCGATGATTCTGGCCAGAGCCAGGGCTGTTGAGCACAGGTGAAGGTGAGGCGATGCCATCAAGCAAGACCAGAGCACCCAGCATGGTTTTCACTCAGACGTCAGGCACCTCTCTCCTCGTGAACAGACGTGGATCCCAGCAGGAGTCGGAAGACACTGGGATGAGGAGGGGAACCGCTTCTGCCTCCCCAGCTCTGAAGAGGCTGAGCAGCATGGATGCTGGAGCAGAATGTGGGCTCTCAGGACTCCAGCTGGATGTCTGTGGGGCAGCCCATGGAGGTGTGCTAGAAGGCCAACTTCTTCATCAGCAGGTAAACGCGAGAGTCCACCTCAAACCCGTGCAGGTTGTTTGCGTCTCCCTGCAGCCGCATGAGCAGCCCTCCGTAGGACACATAGGCAGAGCTGAGGCAGAAGGAGAGCAGTAGTGAGAGCAGGGAAGCCCATGGGAGACCCGTGCCGAGATCCCAGTGCTCCCCACAGGGCACTGCATCCCCCCACTCCCGACAGGCACTCACAGGCGTGTGGCTGCCTCTGTGGAGGTCTCGTCCCCCTCGATCCGGTACACCTTGCCGTACATCACGTACTCAAACTGGTCTGCCCTGCAACAGCACAGCCCCAGGTCAGCAAGGAATCAAACCTGGCTGTTTCCCCAGCCAGGGAAACAGTGTCCTCTGGGAGAAGTTACAGAATGAATACAGACTGGAAAAGACCTCTCAGATCATTAAGTCCAACCTGTGACTGAGAACTACCTTGTCCACTAGACCAGAGTGCTAGTGCCACATCCAGTCTTTCTTTAGACATTTCCAGGGATAGTGACTCCACCATCCTCCTGGGCAGCCCACTCCAATGTTTAATCACCCCCTCTGTGAAGAAATTCCTCTTAGTGTCCAACCTGAAACATTCAACCTCAGCACTTCACTTTTTCCCTCGTCCCTGCCCACGTGGGTCCCAGCTGGGCCCTGTACCTGGATGGCCGGTCATCTGTGGGGTTGTACTCGCCATCATCCAGCGTGCCGTCTTCATACAAAGTGCTGGCGATGACCAGGCGGAATTTGTCCCCTGCAAGGAGACCAGAGGAGCAGTGAGAAGAGCAGAGCACGGCCAGAGCAGCAGCAGACACAGCCAGAACACGGGGTGGTGGCAAAGGGCCACCCTGGCAAGGGATGCTAAACAAGCTTTGTCCCTGCTACCAGTCCTCCAACAGGATTGTGGGGAACATGTGAAAGGTCACACTGGATCCTGTGTCTCCTTGTTCCCCACATCACGGAGGAAACCAGAGCCACAAGGATGCCACTGCTGGTGTTTTCAGGGGACACAACAAGATATTCACGTATATCCCCCCAGAGGACTTGGCTGGACCCTGGGCAGGAACACGAGCCCACTGCAGCACCAGTGTCAGCCCTTCTGTGTTTCATTGAGGGTAATATTTTCTGCACATTTAGTGTATTTAGCTGCAAAAGTTAATTTTAGGAGGTCTGCCTTAAAGCTTAAAGCTGCTAAAGCAGCTTCCCCAGACAGCATCTGTGAAAAAAGGGGCAGAGGTGAGCCCAAATGCACAAGAGGAGGTGAACCAGAAACCCAGCTCAGCCCCAGTACACTGGGAGTGCCCTGAATCTCCTGTCACCTGGGGACAACACAGGGGCACAAGGAAGTCTGAGACAGCTTATTCCTTGATCACAGCAATTCTGGGCTCCATCCTCCCTATCCTCGCCCTGTGCTAGGAGCACGATGGCTTACCGAGGTCCACGGGATAGATCTGGATGTTCACGTCCAGGATGAGATCCATCTTGAAGGACTCGCTCTCGCAGTGCAGGCGCGACACTGGGGAGAGCAGCAGAGTCAAGGACCCGGACAGAGAAGACCCCCGAGGGCTGGGTTGGAGCAGGGTCGTCTTCCCATCCTGGGCTGGCACCGGAGCCGTTTTCGGATGGGTTTGGGATGGATGCCGGAGCCCGGCAGCTGACGGAGGTGTGCACAGGCAGGGAGAGGAAGGCGCTGGGGGGGGACCGCAAGGCACGGGGCCCGCGGGGGTGCGGGGGGCGCGGCAGCCGGGCCGGGGGAGCCCTGGGGGAGCGCTGGGGGA